AAAAAAAAAAAAGAAAACCAGCATCACAAAGCTAAACCATTTCCAAGTTGATCTAGTCTCGGGTGCTATGTGGTCCCTTAAAAGTGATAACTTCTGGCAGCCTTCAAGCCCTGTATGGCTCCAGAGTTTAAGTGATTTGCTGCTGCCAAAAAGTAAACTGTTTAGAAAGGGAGAACTGCTGAAGTCTGTGGAGCTAAGGGCTGTCCCAACTCAGCTCCCTGATGGCTTCAAGCCTGCAGACATCTGGTGTGAGGATTACAGATGCCCCCTCCAGCCTCAGACCCCTCCCCTCCTCCCCACCCTCAAGGGAGGTTCACGGCTCTACCTGCTCTTGCCCTTCATACCCAGAGTGGCCAAGTTGCTAGGCCAGGGCATTTGGTGTCAATGAAGAATAAACAGAAATGGTCACCCAGAGCTGGGAGAAGGCGGGATGAGAGCAGGAGCTTCAGCAGGACAGAGCACAGGAAAGAGGAACTCACTCAATAACAAGCAAGGATCCCATTTCAGGGGCAGCTACTGGCCCCAATGACTGACCTCTGCACCCGCGCTCTCCTCCAAATGCCCCTCAGTGGGGATGCACAGAGGCAAGGCAAGGCTGGGATTCATCTCAGAGCATTCAGTCTCTGCCTTTCCTCAGCCATGCACCCACAAAGCACAACTGACAGCACTCCTCACGGGAGGGCCCTCTACCCAGCATCCTACTGTCCCTCACATCAGGCAGGGACTTGGAACAAGGACCTGCAGCAGGTTTCTGTGCCTACCTGGAATGGCATCAAAAAAAAAAAAAAAAAATCAAAGAATCATAGAAAGTTTGGGCTGGAAGCAACCTCAGGAGGTCATCTGGTCCAATCCCTTGTTCAAAGCAAGACCATCCCCAACTAGGTCATCCCAGCCAAGGCTGTGTCAAGTTGGGCCCTAAAAGCCTCCAAGGATGGAGATTCTCCCACCCCTCTAGGTAACCTGTTCCAGTGCTTCACCACCCTCCCAGTGAGAGAGTTTTTTCTTAATATCCAATGTAAACCTCCCCTGCTGCAACTTATGACCATTGCTCCTTGTTCTGTCATCTGCCCCCACTGAGATCAGACCAGCTCCATCCTCTTTGGACCCCCCTGCAGGGAGTTGAAGGCTGCTATTCAATCCCCTCTCAGTCTTCTCTTCTCCAAACTAAATAAGCTCAGTTCCCTAAGCCTCTCCTCAGGAGTCATGTCCCCCAGCCCCTGAAACATTTTCACTGCCTTCTACTGGACTCCCTCCAATTTGTCCATGTCCTTTCTGTAGTGGGGGGCCCAAAACTGGACACAGGACTCCAGATGTGGCCTCACTAGTGCCGAATAGAGGGGAATAATCACTTCCCTCAATTTGCTGGCAACAATCCTCCCAATGCAGCCCAGGATGCCATTTCCTTTCTTGGCAACAAGGTCACACTGCTGGCTCATATTCAGCTTCTTGTCCACTGTCACCCCCAGGTCCTCTTCTGCAGCCAGTCAGCCCTGAGCCTGTCCCAGTACATGGAATTGTTCTAGCAATGGACTTCACAGTTTTGACAATACCCCAGGGTGCCTCACATCACCTGCTGGGACTCGCCTCCAGTAACACCCCACCTGAGCCAGCATCAGCAACTGCATCCCCCTCCCTCTCCTCTCCATCCATCCCTCCCACCTACCTATGGTCCCAGCCCCAGCTCACCATGCCCACTGTCAAGGAAGTCGGTGATGATGGCAGCGCTGCAGGCTGACCAGGGGTTGGCACGGTCAATCTGTATGAGGGTGGGAGACATCATGTGGTTGGTTTTCAGTCTACCAAAGGTCTCCTCACAAACCTTCACATTGTCATGGGGCATGTTGAACACATGACCTAGAAGAGTAAAAGGAAGAGGCAACTTTAAGAATAATGGACAGCCCTTATACAGAGCTAGCCATCAGTAGATCTCAAAAGTACTTCACAACAGAGTGCAGTATCATTGGCCCATTTTACAGAAGAGGAAACAGAGGCAGAATTAGTTGCCTAAATTCGCCTAGTGGCAGAGCCAGGAAGAGAACCCAGATTCCAGAGTCAGATCTGCTCATCTATCCAGTGGGCTACATCACTATTCACTACCAAAGTGTGAGGGGGTTACTGCAGCCCACTCCCACCCCTAAGAGGCACCATCTACCCTTCCGCACAGTGCAGCCTGTGCAGGAAGGTCAGGCCTCATTCGCAGCTGGGCAAAGCCTCTGTCCCCTGGGGCTGACAACCAGCCACACACAAAGGCAGCACCCACATACTCTGTAGCTCTTCTGCCAGTGACCCCATTACCCTGCAGTGCGAGGAGTTCATCCATCAGCATCCACTGATGCATGCAAAGGAGGGATCAAGGTTTGGGGCAATGTGCTGTACAGAGGCTTCAGCTTTCCAGCAAGGAGCACTACAGGACCTTCCCCAGTACTTAGGCATTCATTCAATGAACATGGGGATTCCCATGGTGCTCAGCACTGCACTCCCTCTACTCCTGCCAATAGCATAGCTAGAGCAGGGTGACCAAAGCAGCAGTCCTAGGTGCTGACTTCAAAAGCAGGGTAGAAAAATAACAGCTACCACCATGCCTGCTGCGTGGTAGCAGTTGAGTCAGCTGCCCCCATGCATGTTGCTGCCCCGGGCACCCGCCTGCCTTGTTACACCTCTGGCTCCCACAGAAGCCAGACAGACTTACCAGCTGCTTGCACAGGAACAGAGTTAAGCCAGTACAGGGGACCATTGCAGGGCACAGCTCCAGGCCTTGTGTTAGGATGAAGCCAAGTGTCATCTTGGGGGATTGGCATAACTCTAACAACCCCCTCTGGCCTTAAAGGTGTGCTCTGCTCTCCACAGCAATCCCGAGACAGCCACCAAGATGCACATCGCCTGCTCTCCCTGCTCTTAGTGTGGTGCATGCTGGGTGCTGGCCCATTAGCATAACACTGGGCTCACCCAGCACCATGCACAAGAACATGAGAAAAAGCTGCTTGGCACAAGCCAAGGAGCAACTACCCAGCACATGGCTCTCGCGGACATGGGCAGTGGGCAAGAGCAAGCAGAGCCAGCATCTCAGCACCCGTCTTGGGATCACTGTGGAAGAAACAATACCCGCATCCTGGAAACTGAAAATCCCACTCCCCTTTAGCCCACATCTCACTGGCTAAACTGGGAAGCATCTCCCCCTTAAAGCCCAAGGCACAGAGAAGCTAACATCTGCACAGAGATCTGTCCGTCACCAAACACCTTCTCTCCTCCAACAGGCAGCTCTGCAGGGGGACCAGGGCACAAGGGCATCCCTCGGGCAGGGTGGGGTGCAATTCAACTGAGCACTCTGGCTGGTCCCTTGAGACCCTGGTGAACTGGAAAGAGGCCCTGGGCATGGCTGAGCCCTGCTACCTCTGCTCAAGCCAGTGTCATGGAGCCCTCATTGGCTTTCACAAGCTACCACTCCTACATTGCAATGCAAATCCAGCACTGCCTCAGCTGCGAGGTCTCTCCCCATGGACTCTGTGCGCCCCTCCTAGATGCTAATATGAGTCACTTCACCCCAGCTCTTGGCCATTCTCTGCAACCCAGAAGAAACATTTATTGTCTGTGGGCCTACAGCTCTAAAATGCCGGCAAAACAGGCCTCCCCCCGCCCCCACTTTGGACAGCTTTGCCAGCTCCACTCCTTGTGTTTCAATCAGATTGCCCATAAGACAGACAAGT